GCAGCAGCAGCAACAGCAGCAGCAGCAACAGCAGCAGCAGCAGCAGCAGCAGCAGCAGCAATAAGAAGAGCAGCAGCAGCTGCAGCAAATGTAGTTCTATTATGCTTTCTTTCTCTCCGGGCGCACAATAGAAGAGTTAAGAAGCAGCTTAACAGCGGGGTTTATTTTGGGGGTTGACCCTAAACCCTAAACCCTTGAGGATGTAGCCTCAGGGCTCTAAACCGTAAACCCTAAACCCTAAGCATTGGAGTCTAGGGCGAGGCCCTCAGGCTTGGCCTTAGGGCATAGAGTTTAAAAGCAGGGGCTTAGAGCGTAGGCTGGATGCGAGGGTTTAGGGTTTAGGGTTTGAGGCCGAGGGTTTAGGGTTTAGGGTTTGGGACAGAGCTTTTAGGGCCTAGGGTTTGGAGCTGAGCCTTTAAGGACCAGTGTCTGAACTAAGGGTTTAGGGTTTAGGGCTTGAGACTGAGGGTTAAGTTCTTGAGACTGAGCCTTTAGGGTTTAGGGTTTGAGACTGAAGGCGTAGGGCGTAAGACCGAGGGTTTAGGGTTTAGGGTTTAGGGTTTGGGGTCTGCGCAGGACGGCGGGTGGAGGTCACAGAATTCCGTTTGATAAAGTCTGGCCGCGGGGCGGCTTCAGTCTCCGTGAGTAGACCCTAAACCCTAAACCCTAAACCCTTGCTTTGAGGTCTTAGGCCCTTGCTGTCGTTCCTGTGTTTGGGGCTTTCAGAGTTTAGGGTTTAGGGTTTAGGGTTTGGGGTTTGTGGCCTGCAGCTCAGCTATGTGGACTTGGAGACCCTCAAGAGCGGCGCCCAGACTTTCTCAGTACAGAAGAGGCTTGAGAGTGGGGCTTGGATTAGGGTTTAGGGTTTAGGGTTTAGGGTTTAGGCCTGTTTATCTTTCGCTTCCCCTTAGAGCGCAGGCTTAAGCGCTGAGGGTTTGGGGTTTAGGGTTTAGGTTTTAGGGTTTGGGGCTCAGCCGGGCCGTAGTCTGTGAGCCGTTTTAGTGTCCCCAAACCCCAAACGCTAAAGCCTAAACCCTAAACCCTAAACCCTAAACTCTCCCTTGGGCTCCAGCTGGGCTGCCTCTGGGGTTATTTTTCTTTCCTTTTGTGCTGCTGCTTCTGTCTTATTTTCCCTTCGCCTTTGCTGGAAAGCAGCAACAAATTATTGGCTCCCTTACTCTGCTGCTGCTGCTGCTGCTCTTGCTGCTGCTGCTCCTGCTGCTGCTGCTTGCCCCTACGCGAGCTGCGGCGGGGGCCCCACGGGCGCCCTGCAGCAGCTTGGAGGGGACTCAGGTCTTGCTGCTTCTGCTGCTGCTCCTTTTGCTGCTGCTTCTTTGTGTGTCTTTGCTGTTGGGGCTATCCTGCGCGTTGATTCTGTGTCTCTTTGCTTCCCTCTTTCCAAACCCTAAACCCTTTTTCAGGGTTTAGGGTTTCTCGCTGCTGCAGCCCCAGCGTGGCCTCTGCAAACCCTAAGCAGCAGCTTGCTGCTGCTGTTCCCCAGCTGCTCTCGCTGCTTCGCGTCTCTGTGTCCTTCTGTCTCTTCGATCCCATACATTTATCCAGCCACCTACTTGACCCCCGCTGCTGCTGCTGTTGCTGCTGCTGTTGCTGCTGCTGCTGCTGCAGAAATAGAGCCAGAGAAGACGCTGCTGCAGGTGATGTACGTGGACGTTCCAAATGGGGCTGTGGTTTTGTCCGACCCCAACTACGACGAGGTGAGCTGCTGCTAAGGCACTGTCTCTGGCCCCCTACGCTCTGGCCCCCTAGGGCTTTGGCTTTTGGCCTCTATTGCTGCTTTCTTTTTCTTCTCCTAAAAACTCTCTAAAACTCTTTCAAACTCTTCAAAACTCTTCAAAACAATTAAAAACTATTAAAAACAATTGAAAATTCTTAAAAACTATTTAAAACTCTTTTCTATTTCCCTGCAGGTTATTGTCCCTCTCCGCCTTTTCGGGGGCCCCTCTGTCGCCGAGCACCTTACCCGTAGGCTCTCACCCTCCCAGGGGCCCCCTTGGGCCCCCCCAGGGGCCCCCAAGGCCCCAGGGGCCCCCCAGAGGCCCTTCAAAGGGGCCCGCCAGGCCACCCCAGGGGACCCCCAGGGGCCCCCCAGGGGCCTTCTAGGGGCCCCCCAGGGGCTGCTGACTGAGAGGGCCTTCAGGGGCCCCTCAGAGGAGCATGCTTGGGGGGTGCCCCAGAGGACGCTGGCCTTGGGGCCCCCACCTGAGGGGCCCCCTGAGTGTGGGGCCCCTTGAGGGGCCCCCCGAGTGTGGGGCCCCTCGGGGATAATGAAGCGCAGAAAATGTCACTCTCAGTGCAGTTGCTGCGTGGAAGAGACTGAGGTTTTTGGTGCTGCTGCAGCTCCTGTGTCGTTTGCTGCTGCTGCTGCTGCTTGCTGCGCTACTGCTGCTGCGTTCTGCGCTGCTGCTGCAGCGGAGCTGCAGGTGCCAGTGTGGATGCACGAGGGGGTGCCGGTGAAGGTGCAGCTTCCGTCTTCAATTTTAACAGTTTTGAGGTAACAGTTTTTTTCTTTTGTTTCTTTTTTGGGTTTGTATTATTTGCTGCTCGGGAGACCCCAGGCAGCTTTGGAGGGCCCCCTCGGGGGGCCCCCCAAAGCTGCCTGGGGCCCCC